GTTCTAGGTAGTGTACACTAGGTTTTTTTCTCCATTCTGTCATCTGATGGAGTTTTGGTTCCTTGCCACTGTTGCCTTGGCTTTTGGCTTGCTTAGTTGGGGACATTTAATATTCAACAATATTATTGATCTGCCTTACTTCAGGTGGACGTTGACGCAATTTTCTTCTAGAAACAAACTTTGTTGTAGTATTTTCATGTTATCACTCTGAAGTTGCTTTGATACAATCTGTATTGTAAAAAGTGCTATATAAATAAAGGTGACTTGACTTGACTAGAATTGTCTAGGCTAAATTCAATTCAATACCAGAAAGTGAAAGTCTTAATTTTCACATCACACAAACCCATACAGACTCCCTGCATATGAATACTTACTACACAGTATGGCAAGTCTATTTAGGAGTTGCAGACCTACTCTTCCAGCGATATTATGCTATCCCATGTGACTATGGGAGCTAGAAGACATCAGATCCAAAAAATTTGGTTGACCATTAGTAGGTAGGCTACCAAGAGTTGTTGATCCTAGTTAACATGTAGGCCTACTTGTTTTTTATAACCAAACGTTTTGTAGTGGTTGTTTTTGGGCTACACAGCAAAGATGGTGGATGTATGGAAACAAATGGACAGTAGGCTATTCATTACACAGATATAAGAACACTTCATCAACAACTGAGAAGTTCATTCTCTGAGAGTACAGGGATTCAGATGCTTTGTTTTCCTACACAACACAAATATATAGACTCAAACCTGACAAATACAGATGTGTACCTTCACAAACATTCAGATAAAAGATTAACAATAGAAAAAATGACGACAAACCAAACATGACATGAGAATGAATTCCATTATTTGTCCTCTAGTGCTCTCTAGTGTTAGTGAAGAGCACAGCTTTTTTTCCGTTTTGGGTTGAAATTCAATTCATTACCAGTGGTGGGTCTGATGCTCATCGGTGCAGGCACATGATTCTGAAATAACTGTTTTAGTAAGTTTTCCCTGACTTGATTACACCGGTAAGTTTGCAGAACATGCAGAACCACTCAAGCTTAAATATATGATTCAATTTAACTAATGGCTTAAAACAGCCCATTTTGGTCGGTTGTGTTTGAATAGAGAAGTGAGATGGTCTGAAGTCTTAAGTTCTTGGGGGGAGGGGGGGGTGAAGCTAAAACAAAATCTTTGTACACTATATGAAGTACACTAGGTAGTGTACACTAGATAGTGTACACTAGGTGAAGTACACTAGGTAGTGTACACTAGGTGAAGTACACTAGGTAGTGCACATTAGATGAAGTACACCAGATGAAGTACACTAGATGAAGTACACTAGATGAAGTACACTAGGTAGTGTACACTAGGTGAAGTACACTAGATGAAGTACACTAGGTAGTGTACACTAGGTGAAGTACACTAGGTAGTGTACACTAGGTGAAGTACACTAGATGAAGTACACTACCTAGTGTACTTCACCTAGTGTACACTACCTAGTGTACTTCATCTAGTGTACTTCACCTAGTGTACACTACCTAGTGTACTTCATCTAGTGTACTTCACCTAGTGTACACTACCTAGTGTACTTCATCTAGTGTACACTACCTAGTGTACTTGGTCTAGTGTACACTACCTAGTGTACTTCATCTAGTGTGCACTACCTAGTGTACTTAGTCTAGTGTACACTACCTAGTGTACTTCATCTAGTGTACTTCACCTAGTGTACTTCATCTAGTGTACTTCATCTAGTGTACTTCACCTAGTGTACTTCATCTAGTGTACTTCATCTAGTGTGCACTACCTAGTGTACTTCATCTAGTGTACTTCATCTAGTGTACTTCACCTAGTGTACTTCATCTAGTGTACACTACCTAGTGTACTTCATCTAGTGTACACTACCTAGTGTACTTCATCTAGTGTACTTCATCTAGTGTACTTCATCTAGTGTACTTCACCTAGTGTACTTCATCTAGTGTACACTACCTAGTGTACTTCATCTAGTGTACTTCACCTAGTGTACTTCATCTAGTGTGCACTACCTAGTTTACTTCACCTAGTGTACTTCATCTAGTGTACACTACCTAGTGTACTTCATCTAGTGTACTTCACCTAGTGTACTTCATCTAGTGTACATCATAGTCCACTACTGACTGCTCTTTTAGCATACTGACATATGCACACTGACATATGCAAGAGAAGTGATGAAACTGTGACAGCAACATTGCGTCCTCTTCAGTCCGAACTAACCTGTGAAGTCCATGTTGGTCTTTTGTTTCCCACACAACACAAAAGCCAATCACACAAAGAACAATATAAAGAACAGTGAGGTAAGTGGCCGTCCCTGTGCGTCTGCTGGGCTGGATCATCTCAGTGGAGAGGTGAGAGTTGAAACTCTCAGAAGAACAGCTGATGATTTCAGCTCCGCTCTCAGGGGAAGAGAAACTGTGACGGAGGAAAGAGAGACAAGGGTTCGGCCCCAGGGAGAAAGAGCTTTCCAATGGTTTATTCATTTCTTTCTTTTTGTTGTTGTTGTTTTTGCAAAAAGCACACATCTGACTACGTGTTTTTTTTTTTTGTTCACTGAGGTGATTTCGAATGATAATCATTATATATTAACGATATAGTATTTGAATGATAATGTTTTATTTGGCCTTTATTTGGCCCAATCATTTTACTATGATTGCTCTGAGAAATAAGTGATATTCTCAAACTTAAAAACAAATTTGTAACATGACTGAAAATATACCATGATGCTTAAAATCTAATATACATTTTTTCATGACTCTTAATTGAGTCTCTGTTTGTTACTGAAATCGTAGTCAGGCAAAAAGTCAAACAAAATTTTCTTCCACAGGAAATACGCAAGTCATGGAACACTAACACCAACAGTCACACATCCTCCAAAAGATAATTAACACTCGGGAGAGAACTGCTGATAATCTCAAAACACGTTTTTTTTTTTTTTTAAGACACTGAGCGGAAACCTGTGATGGTTCCAACACTTTCATACAGTGTTTTTGGGTTTCCTAAGATTAAAGTGTTTTAGGGGACACATTAAAGGGTCTTCAGGTTGTAAACGGAGTCCTAACTGAATGTCATTAAATTAATGTTAATATTCCAGAATTAGTAATACTTCAGATTTAAAATGTTTTGCTACTGTACATAACAGAGCACATTGTTATCCACACAAAGACAAAACACCTACAGGGTGCGCTAGAATTATACAATAAAAATTAACTGAATAAAAACGTTCATAAAAAAATTACAAAACTTTATATAATTTAATAATAGGTCACACATGAACATCTGCCCTACTGAATTAATTATAAGGTGATTCATATATGCAAATTACTTAATATACAAACACACTATCATTCTAATGTTTGGCATCAGTAAGATTAAAAAATAACATTTTATTCAGGCAGGAAGCAATACAATTTTTAAAAATGTCAGTAAAGTCATTTGTTAAATGGTATAAAAAAAGATCTCCATGTTAAAAGATCTCAATGTTATCTTAAATGTTAAAAAAAGATTTCCATTTCAAATAAAATATGTTATTAAATAAAATGTCCACAAAATATTAAGAAGCACAAGTGTTTTCAATGTTGATAAATGTTTCTTTAACAGCAACTTACTCGGCATATCAGAAGGATTTCTGAAGGATCATGTGACACTGAAGACTGGAGTAATGGCTATGTTTTGTCATTTAAAGCTATACTGCTCTTTAACCTCCTGAGACCCAGAAAAAAAAGTTTTTTGAATTTAGTTTTTTTCCATGTCATCACACTGTTTATAGCACAATAAACAAACGTTATGCTATGTCCTCTGTAGTGGACGCCAGGACTAAGTTGTTTAAAAAATAAAATGACATGAAATTATATGTATAGGAAAAAACAATGGGATTTTTTTTTTTCAATCACGAATAAATTTTGGCGTTTCAGGATTTTTTCAACCAAAATTTGTATAAAGATTATTCTCAACTATGTTATGAAAGAAATAATGGAATGAATTGATACACCATTTTACTTTTTGCAATATGTGGGTAAAATGGCCATAAATTAATATTCCCATTCAATGCAATGTATCTATACACTGTATCTAATTTGCACATTAATGTGTTCTTGGAGCAACATTTAATGAAAAAATGAGTGTAATAATTGGAGTAATAATTGGCAATATTTTAATAATAATATCTAATATTTCACAGGAATATTGATGTATAATTTATTTCCATTTTCACTTGTTGTGTCTCCCAGAATGCCTGATAAACATGATTTAAGTCCTGATGTCCTCTACAGTGGACACGTTTGAAATCAATGCCCTGTTCTGTAACAGAAAGTCATTTTTTTATTTGAAACCCCTTAACATTTTCCTGAGATGCTGTTTTATGAAATACAATTTGAAAAAGTAGTCCAATTTAAATTATAATTATAATATATTATCATATTTCCGTAAGAATGCTACATTTGATCACTAAATTAATGTCAGACATTTTTAAAGACCAAGGAGAAGTTGTTTTCATGGTGAAACCTCCAAACATTTGGTATCTCTGAAAAGCCCTGAATGTGCTCTTTACAGGACACCCAGGTTGTGTCATGTGACATGTATGATGTCAGAGAAATTCACTAAAATATAATGTCCACTACAGTGGACAAAAGTCTATTCTTGGGTCCCAGGAGGTTAAGAAAAAAAAAAAAAAAAAAAAAAAAACACAAAGTATACAAGGACAACACGACTGTGTCATAAAAATGGGAAATATATTTTTATTGGTACCTTTAAAGATACAGGTGTCATGAATAACAGAAATACTCACAGTAATGATCATGTTGGAAAGCAAACTCGGCACCTCAAATTAGCTTTCTCTCTCACACACACACTATATACATATACACTTGTGTCCACCCACCTACACCCACACCCACACCCACACACACACACACACACACACACACACACACACACACGTCACATTTTCCTCACCAATCTCTTGGTTTGTTCTCCAAGAACATTGTTCTCCATATTCTGATTGATACATACAGATGGAAAATATCCATTTCTTCACACTTTTCCCATAAGCATTTTAACATGGATCTTCAATGGGCTTCAATAGCAGTCTATTTATTTCGAGTTTTAGCAGGAGGGAAGTTCGAAGATGGGAGTTAAGGAGTCTCTGTAGACAGAGCCAAACAAGAACTATCAGTAAGCGATGTCAAGCCTCAACATGCTCAGTGCAAGTTCAATTAACATGTTTTACATGCACACAAACTCAACAATACATGAGGGCAAGTGTGAATCCGGAGCGGAAAAGGAAGAGAAAGATTTGGTTCATTTAAAGTATGTGATTCACGACGCAAATATACTGCACTGGATTATGGGTAAAAGGTTCACAGCACAGAATGCATACAGTGCATAATGTATAAATTAGCACATGCTTAAAATAAAAACAAACAAAACAGTGCATGATGGCGGGGTTTTTTTTTAGGTATCAGTATTGACAGAACTGCAGTTGGATACATTTGACTTTCAGGAATGGATTTTCAACACAATCTCCGGGACTTACAGGAATCTGTTCAACACTCAAAGGGGGGAAAATAATAAAAACACTCATGGAAAAAGGGAATCTTCTGTGTTATATATATTAAGATCTATAAAATCATACTCACTCAACACCTGTTAGTAATTCTCAGCCAATTGTGACTGCACCATCCACTTCACACCAGGATTTTAAAAAAGGCAATCTAAGATTTATTATACATATTTATATTTATGTAAATAAAAAAAACAATCTTTTAACAATCAATAGATTTTTTGATATTCATTTGAATCAGGTATTGAAATACCTATTTGTTCATTTCAGTCACCCTTTCTGTGAAACACTGCAGCACTGAGGTCGAGAAAAAATGGTTTGTGGCACAAAAAAAAAAAAAAAATCGATAATTTCATATAAATGTTATGCCAGAACTTTCATTTAAAAAGGGCCTTTGAGATGCTGCACTAAGCGAAACGCTCACAGACACATTTCTAAAACGTTTTCTGGTCCTGTATTCCAGACCAAAGGATGGAACAATGAACTCTCCGGCCTGGGAATGGGTATTCCACTTGGGTACGTTTATTCCCCCTCTCCTCGTTACTGTGTCTGTTTTTCGGTCTCTCTGGAGAGGGGTGGGCGGTTACCATCCATTGATGATGTGGTTCATGTAGTCCTCGGTTGGCAGGCGTGCCATACCCTCTCCCCCGACTCCGTCCTCTCGGAACGGGCTGTGGAAAGACGCCTGTCCTCTCAGTAGTCTTTGCTCCCGCCGGTCCAACATGTGCTTGTACTGGTAGCGCTGCTGAAACAGGTCTTTGGCGTAATCATACAGCTTCATGTCAAGATCGTTGAGCTCCTCGATGCGCTGTATCGTGTCGTTGTCCAGGTCCACGCCAGCCGCCCGCGTGCTGTTGTACTGCATGAACGGCCGGATGAACTTGAGGTGGAAGGTGCGCTCGAACAAGTACTGCGTCTTCCGCTGGAACTCCGTGAGGCCGTAGAAAGCCATGTCTCGCAGGTTTTTCTTGGCTGATTCGAGCAGGAGCTGCGAGCGCCTCTTCTCGGGGACCGTTGAGAGGTTATAGCAGCCTACCAGGCTGAGGTCAGCCAGCATGCGCACTTGCCGGTTATTGGCTAGGTTGTAGGGGCAATCCATGAATTGCTGCAAAGTGCACCCTGACCAGTCCGTGCCCTCGTAGCAGGATGGCAGCTCTTCGGGTGTGGGGGTCCGTCCGTCACACATGTGCAGGGACGTCTTCCACGTGGCCCCGCGCTGGACGTGCCTCCATTCGCTAAGATAGCGGGAAACAGGGTCCCTCAGTAGAGTGATGTAGTAGAACTTTCTGTAGGAAACAGGATAGGAGAACTCCATTAGTCACAAATCAAACCAATAACATACAAGATTAGGATATTTATATTTAAGAATTTGGCAGACACTTGTATGCAAAGCGACATTTGATAAATGTAAAGGAACTGAATGATCTTGTCTTTGCTAGTGCCATGCTTTACATGAATATGCTATTAATATCAACAAAACACGTACAGTAGAACAAAAGAAAATGATCACAATGTGTTTTGTGGGTGTAGTATGTCTATAACTTTGTCCTACAATTAATACTCTGTTTTGGAAGACAAGATGTAACAGGTGTAAACCGTGACTCAATAAATGCCTGAATTGCTCAGAGTTTTCCCAGCATGCCCTGGGGCACCAATGTCTTAATCCTTTCCCACCACTTCACATCCTGCCTGCTTAGATTCTTTTGTGATCGATGGACCTTGAAACATCATTGTATATGCTACAAAAACAACAACTAGGAACATTCCTGGTCTGGATGTGATCAAGGAAACCTGATATACAGTGGAGGAGAATATATGTGGCATATTCATAATATATGTGGTGTGCTATTATGTATTAAAATAATTATACAATATAAAAATCTGTATAATTTATATTAATTAATAACATAATGTTATAATACAAGCTCCACTGATATAGCATGTCACTAGCAACACATGGTGATGGGTTTGACTAATAATACAAAAAAAGTTTACCTTGCAAATATTCAAAGTCACTTTGGATAAAAGCATTTGAGATTCATTTCAATTAATCAGTTTTAATGAACTTTGTGTCTACTAAATGCAACTCAATTTATAATATAATAAGTAGCAAAATGGCATTAAAGTTAAGTTTCAATTAATTTCAGAGAATCGGTTTTAAATTAATTGAATAAAAACTCAAATTTCACCCACACACACTACACAGATCTTGTATGCCCATGCACACTCCCTTAACAAGAGATGAAAAAAATCCGTATACCCAAACATCTGCAAACATCTTTAAATCATCATTATATGGAGCTGAAGTGAAAAAACAGGCATGGCTCAGAGTCTTTTACTGAAAGGCTGTTTTGAAGTGAGAGCAGTCAGATAACGATGGTGATGAAACCACCTCAAGAAAAGACCTTAGATCTTACACTGCTTACACACACATTATAGCGACCTTTCCTGAAAAACATGCAAAAATAATTTACCAGAGCGTTCTGCCACTCATGGCATGCTACAGGGACAAAGGCCACAGGGAAAACGAGTTTCAGCGGAACCATGCAAAGGATTTGTGGAGTGGGAGGAAGACCAAGCACTGCCAACAACCTAGCAGGTGGTTTTCAACAGATTAATCTCAACCAAACTGACGACAGAGAGATTTAGCTCTCAGTTACTGATTCAACGCCCCCCCGTCACCACCCGCTCCAGCTGTGCTTCACCCTACATTACCTCTTCACACCCCTGTGACCAAATGTGCCAAGGTAACAGATTCCCCTCAAAGTGCCAGAGAGCTGATTACACATTCGAAAACAGCATGAAATCTCTGATTAGACAAGAACAGTGGGCAATGCTGAAATTCATTGCTGGTGACCCACATTGCACTTAAAGGTATCACTGGGTGCTGAGATACACTGAGCAATCATCTTGCCTCTGGCCAACAGGCGGCAATCCAGCCAACATTGTGCACTCAAATGCTCTTAAATGGTACATGCAGTTCCCTTACTGACCACATGGTGGCAGTGTGCATGTATTAACCAGGCCCTAACAAAAGCATAGGACGGTTACCGGTATGCACATTTCAATACCTTCCCTGTCACAGCAAGAAGACTCTCAGACTTGCAAAGATCGTTGTTAAAAGTGACTTTCTGACTTTTTCAGACTTCTGTTGATCTTTTCCTCTTTTCTCCTAAATCAATAGAATAATTTGTTTGACTCTTTGTCTTTTCAGGATCTTCAAATATCTTTTTGTTCATTCCCTTTTCCTTTCTCACTATTTGGTGACAAGGCTGCAGGCTTATAATCATTAGTGAGCCTGAGAGACATCGGAGATCCCTCTGCAGTGCCAAGGCTTCCTGTATTAATAACTCTCATGTTTCCACAGCGATTAAACTCTGGGCCCCATCAACACACATGGCAGATCCAAATCCCAGCCAATAACTGGCTGCCTGCTCTGTGCAAGGTCGGTCAATACTAATAACACACAGTGAAACAGCCACATTATTAATGAGAATGGACCCAGTACTGAGACTTGGGGCACCTCACAATGTAACTGAGGGTCATACTACGAGCTTGGACTGCTGCAGTGTGCAGACTCATAAATTAAGCTATTGAACACTAGTCTCTTTTATAAAAGTGTTTCATAATTAAATTAAGACCAAGCTGAGGCCAGCTTGGGTGGAAAGATTTCAGCATGTGTGCTTGTGTGCAAGGTTGCTTTGGCAAAATCAACAGGAAGTGTAGGAATCTGGCGGATGTTGTTTTAAGTATTTGTTTAATCCTCTTGTACTACAAAACGTCAATGTCAGAAAGAGTATAAATTTGTACATAGTTTTACATCAACTGACTGATGGGTTGCCTAAATGAACAGTTGAGTAATCCTAAGACACTGTAAAATTACAGACCCGGGGGGGCTGGGATATGTCTGTGGTCGTTCATCATTCATCTCCATCCATGCTTTTTCACTTTTGAAATCAAACACACTTAACAAAAACATTAAAACAAGCCACAACTTCATTAAAAATCCCATTATTGAGGTTACAACCCTGCACTCTCCCACTGAGACATGGGAAAGGAAATGTGGCTCTTGAGAGAGACGGAATGAACAGCCCGCTGGAGAGTCAAGGAGTTCAAGGTCAGAGCTGAAGACAGAGCGTGCTGGAAGACTCCTCCTCGGGCTGACAGCTCACAGTGGAGCCGTCACAACTCTCCATCTGACACAACTCCACATGCAAATCAGCCTCTCAAATATATGAAGACTGCACAAAGACCAGTCACCCTTTCTGACAGACCCGACACAAAACAGCTGTGGGGGCACTTTTTCCTCTTTCAGACACACAGCAGAAGTGGAAGAAAAATAGAGAGAACAGCTTCCAGTGTTTGGTTTGGATGAGTGTGTTAACCCTGATAGTGTTTGTTGGGGCCAAGATGTTTTTGTTCTCTCACATACACACCCAGGAGGCCATTCATCTCCATTGCTGGCTTCTTAGGAAGTTTCACTCCCAGGACTTCCACCCAATAGTGCGTTTAAACTAGAGAAGTGAAGCATTGCTGCATTATTGATGGAGTACCTACACTGACTCTTGACGCAGGGTTCAGTCACCTCACCAGAGCCTCCAAACTTCTACTGGTTTAACATGTTAGTACCCCTGACTGGCTTAATTTCACCAGGGAGGGTTGTGCTGTCCTGGGTGTTTCAGTTCTGTTTTCGCTGCTCTGAGTGCGGATTGGGAAATGAAAGTTTCTTTTTTTTGCCAGCAAAAAGCACCAGACTGTGCAAAATGACTCTAGTCTGTCATCCTGGAGATGGTCCACTTGAAATTCCATTTCTCTGTAAGAGCCGAGTATAAAAAAAGAAAAGCATTGCCAATTCAGTGTGGACATTTGTGTACACACACAAAACTCTGTCTAACACACAACTGAACATTACCTCTTCCTGACCACACAAGGATGATTACACACACACTGACATATCAATGACACCAGGATGTTTTTTTTATGATTACAAGCATTTGATCCTTCAAATTTTGATGCAAGGCTCCACAACACAAGTCGTTTTGAACTGGCCCACCGCATGCGTAGTGATATAATTATACCTTTCATCAGATGATGTAACTCTACTGACATATTCAGGGTTTGGTGGGCCTGGTTGTTTCTTTCACAAAGAGACACAAAGTTGCTTTCCAGTTTATTTATTCCATTTATTTTACTAATGCACAAAAATTGCACCATACTTTATGGGAGTGAGCCATTGAGAATTATTAAAAACTCTTATTTGAAACGTTGCCATTAAATCTTATTAACATGGAGCGGTCCACATTTACATCCTTAAAGTAATTAATCTACACAGAATAAAACCCCAAAGTGTGGCTATAAACTGCTTAACTCATCTGGACTGAGTCAGAATTGTTGAATAAAAAGTGATGTTAATCAAACTAGTGTAAATGTTGTAACCTGTTAATATGTGGGGTTTTTTGTGTGTGGTGTGAAATCAGCCCTATAGCAAGCTCTTTTCCATCCGGCACAGCCCTTCATTATGGAAAAGCTGATTTTTCACACAATGTCAGTGATCATTTTTAACCTCGTTTTGGAGGATTCTTGTCTTAGAAGTGCCTGGAACAACACTATAGACCAGTGAGAGGTCTGTATGAATTATATGAATTATATTACCGTTCAAAAGTTTTGGATCAGTAAGTTTATGAAAGGAATCGCTTATGCTCACCAAGGCTTCATTTATTTGATCAAAAATATGTTGTGAAATATTATTACAATTTAAAACAGCGGTCTTGTATTTTTCATTTACTTTAAAATGTAACGTATTCCTGTGATGGCAAAGCTGAATTTTCAGCCATTTCTCAATCATTCAATCATCAATGTTCAAATCAAATAAGTCATGCTGCTTTATATTTGTGTGGAAACCACGTTTCTTTTTCCCCAGGATTCTTTGATGAATAGAAAGTTCAAAAGGGCATTTATTTGCAATAGAAATGTTTTTAACAATGTAAAAAACAACAACTTTTTGATCAATTTAATCTATCCTTGCTAAAAAAAGGAAGCAATTAAAAAAAAAAAAAAAAAAAAAAAATTTTTTTTTGAACTTTTGCATATAACGCAACGCTCATGCTAACAGTATGCAGGCTAAAATATGCAAGGAATGAGGTCGAATATCACAATCATTTCACATAACACTGCGTTATACACATTTAAAATATAACCAAATTCCATGAAAATCCAGACATCTGATAAATTATGCTTTATACAATCCTTTGAAACAAGATGAGCTATTTTTACTCTGATCTGAGAA